AATTCCGAAGTAAAATAATCGGTGATCCAACTTTCAGTCGAAAAATGTGTGGTGGCATGCCTGGCAAATCCAGCGAGTTTAAAAACTCTGCTGGATAGTTTACAACTTCGTTGGTATCACAAACTGTATCGATCGATTTGTATGATATTAAGTCGCCCGGCAATGTCTGTTTTATCTTGAAATTTAATTCATCAACGTCCATGTTTTTTTGCTGCTAATGGCTCTTTCTGCCAGCCACCCATGATTTATGTATTGTATGTGTACATCTGGAAATACGCGGTCAATGAGAGCATTTTGGGAATCAACGATAGTGCAGAAATTAGGTGGCAGTTCTATGAATTCAGTATTTTCATAGACAACAACTTTTCATATCATAGCAAGTTTTCTTTTTCAAAAATATGAAAAAATTTATGTCAAAAAATTAAAAAAATTTTTGTTAAAGCAATAAAGATATTTTTGCTGGATAGGGACACCCTAAACACTTAAGCGGTATGAAAAATAGATAGTAGCCGATTCTCAGACCTACTGAATACGCATATAAAATTTGGTAAAAATTGGTAAAGCCGTTTCGGAGGAGTACGGTAACTAACATTTTGACAATGTTAATTTTATATATAAGATATACATATTTTTATTTTTTTGTTTAAAAATTTCTTAACGCCCAATAACTACTACAGTTGTCTTTAGCTATTCACAAACCGTTTGAATAGTAAAATTACGTTTCCTGTCCATACTCCTACTGTAGCTGTTCACCATATCACTAATATTAATTGACATATCAGAGTTCCAATCACATTTTTCTTAAAGCCTGCAACTTTTAATAAAAGCAGAAGGAAAATAGGTTTATTTTTTCTTTTGCCCTGCACTCATTCGAAAGTACTAAATAGCAAACTGACTGCTGTCAAGTCGGTTAATGACAGCTGTCATTGACACATACTCGAGCAGTAAAATTTCAAACAGGAGTAAAATTGCCTGTTGCTTGGCTTCCACATTCTGAAGCTCCTTTCCACTTGCAATTTTTTTTCTCTTATACAATATTTTCCTGCCTGAGTTTCTGTACTACATATGCCAAAAGGCCACGATTCCATTTTGCTTATCACCAAACCCGCACGCGATGCAAAAGCGCTGAGCATTTTGTGCTACTTTGCACACTTGACAGCGTTGTAAAGATACGCCAAGCATTTAAGAAAAGAAAAGATATTTTCCAACTCTTCACCAAAAATGCATTACATTTTATGCTCCCCAATACGAAGCATAAAATCGGCTGAGTTAAATTGCAAGAAATTAGTGGGGGGAGTGAGATGTGATGTGTGCTCGCATATGAAATACAAAGAAAAAATCTGCTACGCCTGAAATGTATCTGGAGAAGCCCGTGATGAAATGACAGCGCAAGGCAGGCATGAAATATGCAGTGGATTCAGTGGCTTGCCGTGCAAAGGGTGATG